GCGCCACTAGCGTTTATGGCGCCTATTGTTTTTTATTTTACTGAACTTTACATAGCTGATGTGCATACACACTGATAACAGGGTTTTTCAATTTAATACATTTTTCTGCCTGCATTCTTTACATCAGCGTATGTGAAGTTACGTGCTTTGATTAATAGAAGTTGAAATTTTATGAATACATATAAATACATTGTCTAAGTATTTTTACATTAACATATACATCTTCACACACGACTGAAACGTGTAACACATGTGACACAAATTTTCTCATTTTGCATATTATTCACATAAATTCAGTACTGTAACGAGGGTACAAATGTGCACATAATAAAGGGATCAGTTCGGGTCAAAATAGTCCCTGTATCGGTCATTAAGGACCTAACATTTGGTGTCCGGCTGTTGGAGGGTTAAACAGTGGTTAATACATCTGTATTCGTGTTATCGCCCATATCGGGTAGACGAAGAACGTGTCCTAAGTAAGCCCTCGATATTCACAGACGCACAGGTTTCAAGTTCGAAGGGGTCACTAGAGACTCCCCATACATATTCATGCCGAGTATTTACCTAAGGCCAGAAAAGAACTGTTAAGAACCAAGGCAACGTATCGCATTAATACGAGGGTCCTCGGAGATCCTACGAATACGTAGGTATATGCAAATGACACCGTTCCCGCCGGGGAAACCTTTAAATCACACATCGAGGCTACCAATAACACGTCGACGATCGGTAATACAAGACAGCCTTTATGCGCGGTGCTAGTATGAGTACCAAAACGTTCGTTCTCGAGTTAAAAGGATATCGCGGCTTCTAAGTACCGTAACATGCAATAACGGCCTTTCATCGGATTTAATTCCTACCCGGATTAAAATAACTATGCCGAATATTGTGGATCGGGTCTGAAGGAAAATGGCCTTCGATTCGGTGAGAAGCTGTTTGTGGAGACTTTCTAGACTGAGTTTTAGCAATTTGAGAATTTCAGGTTTTGGTGATTTGGGAAGTGGAGAATTTGGAAATTTGTGGGTTGGGAGTTTGAGAATTTGTGAACTTAGAAATTTGGGAATTTAGAAATTGAGGTACTTGAAAATTTGCAAAGTTACAAATTTTCGAAAGCTCAAACTTCTGGATCGTCGAATCCCTACAGTTCCAGATCCACGATCCCCAAATACCTAGGACCAGAATTTGCTAAATTTTCTAATTTCTATCCCTCAAAATTCACATGTTCCAAATTCCTAAATTTCCGTATCCGTAGATTCTCAGATCCTAAGGACTCCAAACTCCAGCATCCAAATCTCAAAGTCCCCAAATCCCAAGATTCCTAAATTCCTACCTCCCCAAATTCCTATATCGCCAACTCCATATATTCCCACATCCACTCAGATTTGGACCTGCGTCCAATACCCAAACTCCCCAAAAATGAAAGTTCTCAAATTCCTGCATCCCCAAGTGCTTAAGCTCCCCACCAGTCCAACTGAGTCCCTAAAAATGAGGACCATATTCTCATTTACTCGTCACACATAGAATCGCCAGAGAACATTTAAGATTCCAGATCGTGCAGGCGAACATTTGGGTTGTCCACATAAGGGTTAAGCACGTAGGGTAAAGGATTGAAAAAGTCTCGGAGCGAAATGTGTCCGTCGGCCATACGTGGAGCCAGTAAAGTTCTTCGTGGCGGTAAAACGCGGGCGTCGAAAACGCGTCCCGACGTTTCGGAGCATTAACGGACAATCTCGTAAGTGGGCGTGTAAGGGCTCGAAAATTGGAAGGTAGGCCGGGCCTCGACCAAATTAACGTTTGGCGATAATATCCGCTCTCTCTCGGTGCCCCCATGTCGGTTCGTCGGCTCGGTACCCACCCTAAGCGGGCAACCAACGCCAACAACCTCTCGGGACCGAGGCACGCGTGCACACAACCATGCCCATCGGAAACGAACGTGTGCCCCCCGCTCGCCCTCCGCTCTTCGACGTGGTGTGCGTCACGCGTGGGTGTATAGGACATTTCAGTCGCAGCCGGGCCATTCACGAATTTATTAGACACCGTATACGTACGATCGTGGCCCGAATTACTCGCGATAAAAGCACGGCGTGGCTCCTTTTGGTACTTTCGAGCGGGGCAGCTCGGTTTCCTCGCGGAGGTTGATGTACCATGGCCGTCATGTTCCTCGGTCGTCGACGCGTTAATGGCCGCGATGCGCGGTGAATTGTGATGTATAAATTTGCCGGAGGTTTCGTTTTGAAGGAAAAGATTCGCTTTGTACCTACCTTTTTCGTTCTACGCTCCTTTACGGAACCGAGGAGATAAGGGAACGGTGGGAAGCGGCCAGGGAAATTTAAATAACCAGAGATCTCTGACAATCCCTTGCCTGTAATTTCTTCACGTATCTTTCCACGGAGACCGTTCAACTTTGTAAAGGATTCCTCCTCTTTTTTTTAAGCACCGCTGATTATAACGGGCACTGTAGTTGGAGTAGTGTGATGAGAAATCGCGCGAACGACTGATGGGACCATGAAATCTCGAGGGATCACGGCTTCTTTGAAAAGTAATTTTGATGCACCAGGTGTAGTCACACCTGTTCATTAGGCTCATTAGGTTTAGTTCATTTTTCAGGTTAATTTAGATATTTTTAGGTCTAGGCTTAGATTTTTATTCAGTACTCTCAGATTAGGTTCATTAGGTAAATATTTCTAAATTTTTGAACCTTGATACACAACGTGTGTACATGTGTCTGAATAGTAAATTGCAGCTACTAAATTTCTAAACACCTATCAAAATATGTGATAGTACAAGTCTTGAGAAATACAATAATTGTGATTGTTAAAGGAAATTTCGATTCTAAATGTATACGATGAAGAATAGATGAAATTCTACCAGAAATTCCAGGCTGAGTCGATTCCTTTTCAATCTAGACAACAACGTAGCATATCAAGCATAACTAAGCGAAGTAAAAATGGAGCATTGCGAAAAAGAGCGATCCGTCTGTTTTGGCGTAAAGAAAACATGGGAACCGTATTTCAGCGTCTGAACATTCCCGTGCGCATCACTCGGCCGCGTCTAATTTATGTAACGCAGAACAAATATACTCGTGGCCGCGTTGTACGTAGGTACGTACGGCGTGGCAAGGAAAATAAATACGTGGTGAAACAAGTGGAGCGTCCATATACATAGAAACGGAAGAAAATAGTCCGCGCGCCGATTCGTAGACCCCGAAATAGGGCGGTGTGAACAGCAGGAGACTTTACTGTACGCCGTGCAACGAGGACGTGTATCGGCGTTGTGTGAGCGTTGTTGGTAAGAACCGGTTATATAGGAACCGTCCTCCACCTTCTGCACCTTCTTCCACCGCTTCTTCTACCTTTTCTTCTTCTTCTTCTTCTGTACTTTCCTTTCGACTCATTCGCCGACCTTTCGTTCCTCGCCAAGTATCAAGCAAGCCACATAATACAGGTAAACCTGTATACACAGACTCACCTGTGTCCGAGTACGGGTGTGTGCGGAACGTATATACACTTACGTGGGGTCCCGACACCATGGGCGCCTACCTATCTGACATTGGGTGCCTACGAGGGCGAGTCCGACGTCGTTTCTTTTTCTCCCTTTCCTGACCTGGCTACCAACGGACCCGCAGGGAACCACGGACCCTCCGGGGGCGTCGGAATTTCGCGAATGTTTCACCGATACCCTCGTTTCCGATACGCGGAAACACCCGAATCTATTGTGCTAGAGACCGGTGATATCCCGCGGAGAATCGTACACGCGGCGATACATGTGGATGTTAATGTGCCCGCTCGCGGTGTTGATGTTCGTGAATTAATTTCTTCCATTGTGAGAGAGAATGTGAACATACGTGCCGCGGCGATTGGATGAATGAATGTGACGAAGCGTGAATCGGCGGGAATACGAAATGAGTTTTCAGCTGGAACTTACTGAGTCTGGATACACTTGATGACATTAAAGTATACTAATGACCCTTGCATTTTATTAATTTCGAGTTTGAAGAATAACGAGGTCTAGTTAAACTCTTTTGGTGACTTTGGTACAAGTTACTGAACTTATAAAGCCTAACCCTAATTTAGGCAGTATATATTGAATTACCTTGCGTAATATACAATAGTTATATTATAAAGTAACAATTAAGTCTAACAAGATTTGTTAACATGAAAATTACACTTACTCTATTAAAATAGAATAGAATGTTTTAATTTAAAAATTAAGACACGAAGACAGTGACGACGCCATTTTCTAACGCCGTTATAACAAAATGGCTGCTGTCCCAGCAAACGAGCAACTTGAAAACATCTGAAATTTAATACAGTTCGATGACATAAAAGTGAATCAAAATAGCACTCATTCTATGTCACTTGAAACCTTGAAGCTTGATGAAAATTACTGCATACGCCATTTATTAAGATGCTTAATATAAAATGGCTAGTTGCCAGCAATAACAAACAATGTCCGATCTCGAAGCATCAAAAGCTTGGCACAATTTGGTGACATTAATGTACTGTGAAATAACACTTCTGTCATATCAATTTGAGACCTCAAGTTTGATTAAAATGACCACGTAAATTAGGTGATTGTGACTGCGAAACAGGACCACATAATTCTTGAGTTTCATAAATTTAGCCTTTAGTGTTATTAAGTGTTCAGAGTCCAAGTGCTTGAAATTCCAAAGACTGTTCATTAAATGTACAATTAGTAAAATAGTTCGATATTGTACCACTCTAAGATTATAAATATTGAGATAAATTTGATAAGACTTTAATTGTACGTTAATGTACAATGGCTGTTTGGTAATTCCCTGCGTTTGGGGCTCTGTAGGTGAGAACAAGTAATGAAGCGTCATTCATTGACAATTTTATAGAGAATCAAATAGCAGAAAATTACCTAACTATTCTATCAAATGAAATAATTTATAATATGAAATATTATATGAATAATATATGAAATATTTTAATTTAATGAATATAAACAGCATCACTAATGAGCACTATTTTCTGTTACAGATTTCGAATAGACAACACGGATCATATAATAGACGTGAACAAGAACAATGCAGCGTTCGAGTATGATCAAGTGAACATAATATGTCCTGTGTACCAACCTGGGACATTCAATAAGGAGATGGAGAAGTATATCGTCTACAACGTTAGTATACTTTCTATTCGATTACAACAAATTTCGAACCTTCCTCTCGATCAAAGTTTGCCACGATCCCGTGTGTATTCCTTGTTCAACAGATAAATCTAGTTACACGACTTGTCGACCCATTATAAGAACTAAAAAATTGTCAAAGGGAGTCCTGCGCTGTTTAGACAGCTGCCGCTACTCGAAACTCGTTCGCGTTGGACCCCCAAGACCGACTTCCGTTTTGTAACCAACTTTTTGACACCGTGCTGCCCTCGGGGGGTTGCTCGAAAATTATTTCATCCCCTTTGAAAAATATTCATGAAGGAATAGTACAATGGTTAAGTGAAATTCATGACTTTGGCTCGAGTTTTGAACAAAATAGGTCCTTAAATTTTTGGGTTTATCAAGGTTTTAGGCTTTTAAATAAGTTATTATATCCTCAAAGTTTTACACTTTTAATTAAACAGAGTATAAATTGATAAATTTCTATTTTTTCCAAAGTTCATCTTTGAACTCTCAAACTTTCTTAGTTAACAAAAACCTAAATCAGCAAATCCTGAAATTACTAAATCTCCAAATCCCGAAATCCCCAAATCCATCAAACCTAACCTTCATCTTAATTATTCTCAACTAGCTTCATAAAACCTTAACTAACCCAACCTGTTAACTAACCTCAACGCCTCGAATTATCGCATCACATTCAACTCGGAACAAAAAACAAGTCTCGTCCGTAAATCAAATAGTTGCCAACGTCGAGAAAAGTTCCCCTATTCTTTCGCATTTATCGTAGATTCCGATGCCATTGGCTGAAGCAGACGCAAGCAGCAACGAATCATCGCCGAGATCTAATCACCTCAATGTCCTTCCCTCTCGGTATCGTTTTGATAGCGCCTGGCGATTCAACCTAACAATAGATATTTTTCCCCCCTTGTTGACCGTATCTTGGGGGGACGAGTCGAGGAACAAGAATCAGCTCTTTCCACCGGCTATAACTTACAAAGGACGTAGAAAAACTTTCGCGGTAGTGATTCAGCGATTAGTATCCTTTATGAAACTTAGCAGTCTATACTCTGGATATCCTGCCACTCTATTATGAGCAACCCTAATTTTAAACGGTCACGCATTTCATTTTGAGGTTATGACAGGTTCGGGCAGGTGTGCACGGTTTTGGCGGGAATTTCAAATTTATAGATTAAGAGTTGGTTGCAGTTGTAGTTAGCAGTTTTTATACAATTTTCATAATTCTGTTTGAATTGAAAATATAATGACTGTAATGTATATAACAAAGTTGGTTTTTGAAATAAACTTCCTGTGATTGACTATCAAAGTTATAACTATAATAGTCTCATATCTGCTTTAGCTTTCAACTGCTATATTTTATGTTAAGTTTAATCATCGTTTTAATACTTGACAAAATTTTAAGTAATATCTACATTTTGTGAGTGTAACTAGTAGAGTCTTCTTCCAGAGTCACATGAACAATTTTTTAACAGAAAGAGAAAAATAATTGGAGTCAGACAAGATCAGACAGATTCCGTATATACAGCCGCGATGGTCATATATCCGGACATCAGAGTACTTGTTAGCAGAGTGATCTGTACGTTACAAAGGTTTATAGCTATCGCGTGATTTACAGGTGTCTAAAGAAGAGTACGAAACATGTCGGATAACGAATCCGACTCCGCGGATGATAGCGATCTGCGATAACCCTTACAAGACCATGTACATCACGATCACCTTCAGGCCGTTCACACCGCAACCTGGAGGCCTAGAGTTCCAGCCAGGGCACGATTACTACTTCATCAGCACCTCGTCCAAAGACGACCTCCATTTGCGTGTCGGTGGACGATGCGCCAGCGACAACATGAAGGTTGTCTTCAAGGTGTGCTGCAGTAACGACGCTGACACCTCGTCGTCGTCCGCGACATCACGCAACAACTGTGAGTATCCCTTGTTTTCTAACATACATGCCCGGTTGTATATGATCGTGTTTATTTAAACGTACGTTGCCCCAATTCGAATCGACAGTGCTCTCCATGTCAAGTTCGATTGTAAAATTAGTCCTGGCAGATGGAGATAAACTAGACGAAGAATAACAATGTTTATTCTGGGAACTGGACTACACGGTGTTTTAACGTTTGCGATGTTTCAGTTCGACTAAAGATAGCTATGCAATCTGATTGCCACGGAAACTGTATCACAATTCTTCACTCGAAGTTAGGCAGATTTTTTTAGATAATAGTATGTGTACTTAATAAAGCAACGGGACAATATAGGGCCATATAACGAGACTACTACTTATTGTCGTTCAAAGTAACAAGTATACATATAAATAGTACAATACCAAACAGACAATATAGGAAAATACAAGACAGAGAACATGGGACAATATAGAGCCATATAACGAGACTACTACTTACTGTCGTTCAAAGTAACAAATATACATATAAATAGTACAATACCAAAGAGACAATATAGGAAAATACAAGACAGACGACATAGGACAATACACGGCCATATAACGAGACTACTCCTTATTATCGTCCAAACTAACAACAAATTTATTAGATGTTTATGAAAGTGTTCCAACTACAAAATTCTCGTTGCATAGTGTCAATATATCGCCTGAGAATTGACAAAGAGTTAAATCACCTCGAAGACGACGTCCCAGCACGAGGAGCGATTTCGCGCATAAGGGTCTATTTTCTAACAGGCCGATTATCATAATCTGAAATTATAGACGTTGTCTATGGACAGGATACCGCCTTTTCATTCCGCGTGTAAATCACGTTTAAAGCCTTCACGGTTTCGCGTCGGTCCAGCGTGCAGGTTCTCGATCTCGTCGAACAACACACCAGAAACGAATCGTAGGAGGACCGCGTCATAAATTCATTATCCTGTAATCAGTTATACAAAAAGGAACAACTCACGTAACAACAGACGGTCTGCGTCGGTCCTCTGAACTCATTCCATGCTGTTTCGCCCTTCGTTCGCTGTTCAAAACCACCGGGCTGATCCTCCCTTTCTAAATAGTCCCTATCAATTATAATTCCTACTCGGCCACCATTTGTTGCGGTTGGGGGACCGACACTGTTACAGAACGCACAATAAATTCCACTATTTCGCTGAAGCTACAGTGGCGTAACTAGGATTTTTGGGTGAGGAGGGACTTGAGTACGCTAGGATTCACTTTGGGAAATTTGGGGAATTTAATGTTTGGAGATTTGAGGATTTTGGGGTTTGTGGATTTTGGGATTTGTGGATTTTAGGGTTTGTGGATTTTGGGGTTTGTGGATTTTGGGATTTGTGGATTTTGGAATTTGTGGATTTTGGAGTTTGTGGATTTTGGGGTTTGTGGATTTTGGGGTTTGAGGATTTTGGAATTTGTGGATTTTGGGATTTGTGGATTTGTGGATATTGGGATTTGTGGATTTTAGGGTTTGTGGATTTTGGGGTTTGTGGATTTTGGGATTCGTGGATTTGTGGATTTGTGGATTTTAGGGTTTGTGGATTTTGGGGTTTGTGGATTTTGGGATTCGTGGATTTTGGGATTCGTGGATTTTGGGGTTTGTGGATTTTGGGATTTGTGGATTTTGGGGTTTGTAGATTTTGGGATTTGTGGATTTTGGGATTAGTAGAAAAGGGGATTTGGTGATTTAAAGATTTAAGAATTTGGACATTTGAGGATTTGGAAATGTGGAGACTTGAAGATTTAAAGATTTAGGGACTTAAAGGTTTAGAGACTTTGAGATTGAGGAATTTGATGACTTAGGAATTCAGAGATTAGAGTACTTCAACATTGTGAAAATTCAATGTTTTGTAGCCCTCTAATTTTAAAAGTATAACATCAAAATTTGAAAATACAAGTATTTAAACATATCAAAATTTCAAAGCACTTCCAGAATCATAAAATCCTTAAATTTCCCCAACCTGCAAAAGTTTCAAATTTCTAATTTACAAATGGTTCACACAAGGGTTCTCCAAGATGAGTCCATATTTTCTCGGGATCGAATCCAGCCAGGTCCCAAACTAGTTATACGCCAATGACCTGGTCTCTTCTTTCCTTAATTCGTTCCAACCGTCCTCCCAACACCTCTTCTTCTGCCTCCTGCCACTGGGCCGACTCTTGTACCAAGGGACGATTCATGCGCCGTAATGACTAGCTATTTCGCAGTCTAAGAACTCTGAACTCTTCGGGGTCGGACAATCAGGATTCCACGGGACTCTCGTCCTCGAAATCCTCCTGCTTGGTCTCGTGCACGATTACTATCAGCGAACCGCGAGAAATGTTAATCTCGCGGAAAATTTCTGAAGATCTCTTGCTGGGAGCGAGGATGTTTACGTCGGCAATTAGCTGCTAAAAATATCAAATTGATCGTCGATGTTTTTCTACTGAATTAAAAATTATTAATTTCACATATAAGCAAAGAGAAGGCAGATAAGTCTATTCTTCATAAAAGAAGCTGATGACTTTTTTCTATTTTTAACTTCTGTCTTTACATTTTTGTTGCTATACAAAATTTTGTACAAGTATTAGTATGATTATAATGCAAAATTTTATTGGACAACATGGTCACACATGTACATATGTAAACTTCAAGGATGATCTAACAATACAACGTTTTAATGAATTGTCGATTGCTTCCCATCTTAACACAGAAGTTCCTCTCGATGCACCCTCAATGATCCACTTTTTACGACACGCTATTTACAATTATAACCATAACGGTTTAGTTCTATTACTGATCACACGTGAATGGCGTAACCGAATGATCGACGGTGCGATTAAATAAAATTTAACGACCGCAATCATAACCGCGTACGTTTCGATCCGAAGAACGCAGAGAGAGTCCAGTCCGTATACATCGATAATTGAAATCGACTGGGCGATTCTGTGGGGTCCCACCGACCCGTTTATGGCCGCCGGCTCGACAACGCGGTCGCGATTTTCGCGCGTTAGAAATTACGCGAAACCGGCGTGCTTTGGCCAACCGGACTAAAATCGAACGATGTGGCAACGTTATCCTAAATCAGCCAACTGGAATCGTTGTCGAGCGGGCCGCGTAACAACAGTAATCGAGGCACTGGAAATTGCTCGCAGCTCGTGGACGAGCGCAAAAATCGCCGTCAGATTACACGCTAAAATTCAATACTCGCGACAGAGCGATAGCGGATCTGGAAACATAACCTGACCACGATGAGACCGGGGAAGAAAATGTTAACTTGTCGGAGTGGAATTTGAGATGTGGAGAAGCTTGCAGTTTGTGGTTTTCGAAACTTGCAATTTTGTTATTTGAATTTTGTTGATTTGCAAATTAACTTGTTAGAAATTTAGACTTTTTTAAATAAAGACATCTTAACGTCGCGTACGAAACATGCCTCACTAATTGTGGAAGTAACGTTGAATTTCGTCAAACAAGTCCAAAAAGTATATACAATAAAAATATTCTTTAATCTATGAAGAATTTAGTATTTTATTATAAAGTACATACATGGCGTACTAATAAACGACTAACTTAAACAATAGTAACGTTGAATTTCATGCAACGATAAGTCAAAAAAAATATATATATGAATATCCATTAATTTATGTAGAATTTAGTATTTTATTGTAAAGTATATACATGATGTACTAATAGACTAACTCAAACAATAATAACGTTGCATTTCATGCAATAATAAGTCAAAAAAAAAATATATATGAATATCCATTAATTTATGTAGAATTTAGTATTTTATTATAAAGTACATACATGACGTACTAATAGACTAACTCAAACAATAATAACGTTGCATTTCATACAATAATAAGTAAAAAAAAAAATATATATGAATATCCATTAATTTATGTAGAATTTAGTATTTTATATACATGATGTACTAATAGACTAACTTAAACAATACATAGCAGCGCATTATAACGTACATACATAAATAAAATATAACATCTAAAAGTACGCAGGCGTAGTAATGGATTATTATAATGTAACCTATGAATACCCTATAAGCTTGATTGCAAAGTACACGATGACGTCCTACTATTTAATCTGTATATAATCAGCGGGTTACAAAGTACATAGACGTTGAAAAAAAGTATACACATCATTCCTGAAGGATTAACGTTGTTTCTCTTTGTGTTTGCAGCGGTAACCGTGACAAGCAGCACCGTGCCTAGCAGCAGCTCAACCAGCACCGCAGTTTTGGGTGGAGGAGTCGCTGGACTGCCACCCCCGCCACCACCGAGCGTCCTCAAGGGCGGAGATCGATTCTACCCAGGGGGCAGCATTCATCATCATCACGATCATCATCAACCGGCCACGGCGGCGCCGACCCTGTCCCACGTGCCCCCTCCGGTCATCTACCCCTCGCATCCGCATCAGCCTACGATTCACAATGGACCGCCGTCCTCCTCGCCGCCCAAGACCCCGATCGGCCAGAAGAAGAAGAACAGTACGTATACCGTACATATATACTTACATACACAGCCCACTGCCTCTTGCCACCTGCTCTCTTTGCCGCGAAACAAGTTTCTCGATGCTCCTCGCGCGACCATTATCTCGGCCAATGATTCTTTCTTTCTTTCTTTCTTTATTCCCGACCACTTGTTGGTCCCTTTATCTTCGCGCCGGGTTCTCTTGTCGTCGCGTCCTGTCGAAATTAATCGTGCTAGAGAACGGTGTCTCGGTGATCGACGGCGAATTAGATCGGTATCTAGGAAACGTCTATGATTATGGACGAGTGATGGAATTCGGATACGTCAACCTTCACACTTTACAGCAGGGGTTCTTACTCTTCGACGTCTCTTTCCTCCATCGTCATTCAATTTTTAATAATTATATTTTAGTTTATAATTAAATAACACACGAACTAGAAAAATTTAGTATTCAGGGTTTTTGTTAAGAGGGGATGTCATAATTGTCATATGTAAATTCTTTTAAATGCCGCAAACTTGGAACGCTTGGAATATCCATAGATGCGAAGCAAAGCGGAACGTCGTCGATCTCCAGTCATTATTTTACCGTTAGGTAGTTGAACGTGATGGTCCATTGCATGCCAAACAATCATTTTACGTAATTCATTCGGCTTATCGTTCGGTCGCATTTAGCCGGATAAAGTAAATAGCAGGCAAATAAATTTTAATGAGCTTCCAAATTATGGATAGCACTGCCTTGTTTATTATGCGATACACCGTGAAAATTATATAGGAAAGAACTATTCAAGTACTTAGCTATCTGTTATCACTTTGAAAGTAATTCATATATTAACCTTTTGTTATCTTCAAATTTTTTTATGAACATTTTTATTTTTATTAAAACATTTGTGCAAAAGAGTTCAATATTGATTAATCTATTAAACAATTTCATAGATTAAATATTTAAATTTTTTCATGAATTTTTGCAAAATTCTTCTGCTGAAAATTTTTAATTAATTCATTATTAGTGTCTTCACTAGCAATTGTGTTTTAAGCCACAAAGAAGACTATGTTTAAGAGAAGAGAAAATTATATTAAAATATGAAAACAGTAAATAGTAAATATAAGAATTGAATTCCTATTGTTTGCTCAGATAAGAAAACCGAAGAAATTAAAGAAAGTCGAAATGACGAAAAAGTTAAAGTATGCCATATAGGGAAAGTTCCATAGATTAAGGGGCACCTCTAGCGGAACCGCCAGATGGAACATTCAAACAGAGCAAAGAATTTAATTCGACGATCTCTCGACGACCATCTGTCGTCGACGAGTTGATGCTCGCTCTTCTTATTCCAACACCTACGATAATTTCGCTTCAAAATGCGCCGTGAACGCGCACACATTTGCATCTACACCGATAATCAGAACGGTCATTAAGGAGTCATGTTGCTCAAATCGAGGAGTGACTGGGAATTCGTGTTCCAAGGGTGTCCCACTGAAATTACAGTAAATTGCTGAACTTGTAATATAAAACACGGCAATATAATTAGAGTCTTTTGTACGATTTTACGTAATTGCGGTTCTCGTGTGCTGTGGATCAAATATCTTTCATTTAGCGATGGCGGAGATGCTTTCTATGCATGTGCTTTTTGTTGGTTTTTTGAAATTTGGGAATTCGGGGATTTGGAAATTAGGGGTTGGTAGTTGGAGGTTGGGAGTTGGGGGTTGGAGGATTGGAGGATTTAGGAATTTAGGGACTTGATTGGGGAATTTTTGAATTTGGGAATTTGAGGATTTGGGGATTTGAATATTTGGGAATTTGGGAATTTGGGGTTGGGGGTTGGAGGATTGGGGAATTTAGAAATTTGGGGATTTGAGGATTTGGGGATTTGGGGATTTGGGGATTTGGTAATTTGGGAATTTGAGGATTTGGGGATTTGAATATTTGGGAATTTGGGAATTTGGAAATTGGGGGTTGGGGGTTGGAGGATTGGGGAATTTAGAAATTTGGGGATTTGAGGATTTGGGGATTTGGTAATTTGGGAATTTGAGGATTTGCAATTTAGCAATTTGGCAATTTGGGAATTAAGGGTTGGGGGTTTATAAGACTAAGAAATTCAGGGATTTAGGAACTCGAAAATTTATGGATTTGAGGATTTGATAATTGAGAAAAGGCACTGAGAATTTGGAGAATATAGAAATTTGGAAATTTTTGAATTTATAAATATCTAATACAAGATATCCTACACCCCTCACACTATAGTGAACCAAACTTTATGGGGTGCCAGCATTCCCTACACTGATGTTACACAAAATGGACCATCACCATAGATCTAAAATAGTCAATAGTAATGAAAGTCGTGCACAAAATTCTGTCGCGTGAACGAAATTCGCTCTGTTTGCGCAGCAAAGCTTACCGGAAAAGAAAAAGTTCACAGTGAACTACTCACCTATGCAATGGACTCTGAATTGAAATTGCAACCTCTGCACTGATATGTCTGCGTTTCCTGCTCTATAATGAAGCAACTTTTTCTAACTACTTTCTAGCAATTCGATACCTTATAGGAATGCTTGGTTATTCTTAACAATTTATTAGGTCTACTCTTTATATTTATACACTAACAATTTTTCCAAGAGTAATATAACTTTCTTTCTTATTTTTTTGTTATACTGGAAATCTGTCATTCTTGATTTGGTATATTGCATTTTATCTTGCAAGTAGCTTCATTTTGTGTAAAAATTGCTCAGATGTTAAGGTAGGGAGTGACGTTAAAATAGTACAAATATTTTGTTCGTATCTCCAAAAATTCTTCTCCAAATGTTACTTTTATAACAAAGTTGTTTATAAAATTTCAGTTGAATCAAACGTGATAGATTTTCTAGAGTAAGGGGTTTGCACCCCATACCAAAGATGCACCCCTCAGTAAAGATTAATATCTGACACACCTATCGTTTGAATCGTTATGCATATCTCCTCTTTTGTATCTAACGTTTGATCAATTTTTGTGTCAACAGAGGAATATTCGGATCACCCGAACGAGGTGGTGAAGAACGAAGAATTGACCTACAACGGGGCGAGTTCCAGCCGCGTGTACAACACGTACAGCCAGCTGATCGTGATGTTGACGGCCAGCTTCCTGATCAGCACGATCCTGCCACAGTTACTGCGGTGAAGCGACCACACTATCGACGAGAACGTATACCCCATACGTCGAACACCCCTTTTTCTGTGATTATCCTACGTTTAATTAATTTCTTGAGGCACGCGTGTCCCCCGCGCGGCCGCCCCTCGATCGTGGAAACAAAAATGCGCACGATTTATGGTCGGACTGCCTCGAGAGAAAGAGAACGAAAGAACAAAAAAAAAGGATGGTTTTAGGGAAAGAACGAAGAGTGGTTTGAAAAAAAAACACACACACACACACGAACGTCAAGAGAAGAGAGACACGCACGACACACGAGCAGCAACGCCATATTAACTATTCGAAGGAAGCACGAAGACGTAGGTAGTAAGATTACGAAGAAAGACGAAACGCTACTACTAGACACTATTATAGTATGCCCACTATTATCACTACTATAAATGGTAGTCGTATTGGTTGTCCTTCTTATCATTACGCTAATTCTAGGTATTTATTCGAAATACGAGCGAAGAGAAGTCGTGAACAGCGTGTTAACTATCCTCGAGCGTATACGTTGATAAATAAGATTCTCTCCACGGTGAATTACGAGGATTTTTTTGAGGGAACTTTCGTTGTATCTTCGGTGACGAACGGTACTCTGTGACGTTTAGCGCCGCCATTTTGTTGCGCGAATGGCAAGCGAGATGGCGGTGGAAATATCAGTCGTTCGAATCAGATTCGAGGTTATGAAGGGTTTCAAAGGTCGATTCCTCTGTGAGATTTTCTTCCACGTGAATTTTTGTGGAGAAAAATATTTATGTTTATGATGCTAAATTGGGATTATTAACATTTGCAACGTCTCAAATTTGGTATGTTTAAAATGAGGATGCTTCAATCACTTCAAATATGGGGCAGCTCTAATTTAAAGCACTTCAGATGTGTTTAATGCCTAATGTTGTAATGTAAAAACGCCTCAGACTTGAAGGACCTCTAATTTGATGCGCTTCAGACTTTAAATGTATCTCTAATGAATTTCTTTTATTACTTTCCTAAGTATCCAACACATCCAGAACCTCACGAAATTAATAATAAATTTTTCGTGGACCGTCTGAAGCACTCCGAATTCGTGAGTTTCACAGTTGTGTCACCGACAAGATTCGAATCGAAAACCAATCGAATCATAATCGAACGACAGCGTAACAGCGTAAAACCGTTCGCGTCGTAACGAGAATCGCGAGCAGGATAATTAACACGCGTGTAAATAAATTCCTAATGAATATGTACAAGTGGCTCTTGCCTGATCGCCGGGACAAGAGGGTTTAAGAGAGTGCCGTAATACTAGGTAAAAATCTTCTATATGCTAGAGGGGAGGAGCGCGATATAGGGTGAGTGCGATACAGGGTGTGGACGTGCGTGAGTGTGTTTAACGAGATGCGTGTGCAGCACCGAACACGAGGATTGTCCATGTCGGATTTAGTGAGTGTCACGAAAACTGTGCAACGTGCGACGACGAGCTTTCTGTTAAGTTCCAGACCGCGGTCCCCGTAACCGCGGACGATTACGCGAACGCGAAGTCTCGTCGACAGATAACCCTCGCTTCGATCGAGTTTCTGCCGGGATTTAAAGAGAAATTTAAGAGGAGAAAGCATGAAAATGCGTGAAAGAGAGAGACTGATCGCAGAGCGAGAGACGAGAAGCGAAATTTTTGTATCATAGTTGTACCATACCGAACTCTTTATCTATAGATCTGTATTATATTTATTATCCGCTATCATTACGCTACGAATAATCACACTCGATATTCTCTATATTTACTAGTAAAAAAAAAATATCAAATTTAATAGCGAATAAATTGCGTATTCGGCGGGGTAAGAAAAAAAATGAAACAAAATGACACGTGCTAAACGATGAATTCAAGAAAATCCCCCTGTCACCAATCGAATCCGTCGTTTCTTGTTTTCTTTTACAACTTTAGTTTTTGTTGTATTATGTTGCTCGAAAACGCGTCTGAGCGCACACGCGAACGTATTATTGCGATTTCCATTTAATTGGCCGTGCGATCGTCGGTTCCATTGTATGGTTTTTTGTACTACGGCGGAGTCTCGCTATATGGCCCCGGGACTGTAGGAGCGGGAGTATTGTTGTAAGGTTCACATAAATTGAACTTTGCTTTGATACAATGCCGTCGAAAATTTCTAAATTTGCAAAAGACTTAAATTCAAAATTTGGAGACTTGGAAATTAAACATTTCTCGGTTAAAAAATTTTTAAATTTGGAAATTTGGAATTTCTAAATTAAAAAAAAATTGTTAAACTCTGAAATTTCTACATTTCTTAATGAATCAAAATTTCTAAATTTGTGGATTATGTTTCTAAATTCTTAATGGGACTCTAACTTCCTGTACTTCTAAATTACTCAATTCTTATGTCCTTGTCTTTCTAAATGCCTACATTTGAAAATGACTAAAATTCTACATTCCAGTATTCCCACATTCCTACGTTCCTACATTCCTAAAGCTTTAAATTTGAAAATTTCCAAATTGCTATCTGAAGTTCCTAAATTAGACACCTCGGAAATTTTCCAATTTGAAAATTTCAAACTTTTACGATTCCCATTTCTGAATTCCTAAATTCACATATTCTTCAATTTTCACATTTGACTTAAAAATTTAGTAAAAACTAAACTTGAAATTACTAAAATCCTTTCCAAAGCTTTAAATTAAAAAGTCATCTAATCTAAAAATTATCAAATTTCTAAACATAAAAGTTTGAGGACCTAAAAACTTATAAACGAAAAACTTCCAATTGCTAATGTTGACTATTTGAAATTTCCAACATTGCGCCTCAGTAATTAAATCCAGCGTACATCGGTGATGCAAAAGGGGTGATATAGCGAGACACCGTCGTACCGTTCGTTTCATTTGTCCCCCTGTTTTTGATACTATATTTATTGTACACCGCCACGCAGACTTAGTTTCTATACGCGTACTGACGAACATATGCGCGACGCAGCTCGCATTTATTTGTAAAGCGTACAGGATTACATGTATACATGCACACTGGTCACGATCGTTACACGCGATCCCGTCTCTGATCTGTCGCGTACGTCGATAACGGCGGCCTCTTCGCAAAAGCGTGAAAGCTCCATTCACATTTCCGGATCGGTCGATTTCTCGCATCGCTAATCCGAGCGATCCAACGAATCACGCGATCACGAATCCACTGCGAAATACTGCCATATTTACAGTTAACGTCACAAGTATCTCGGACGATGTCACACGACCTCCGAAATCGTTTCTTTCGACGCATCTCGATGAACAAACACAGAACTTGAAAACGTATTCGTGAGGATCGATGTGAAGGGAGCTTTCGAGTCGCGTGACGAGAAAAGACGCGAATAAAATGGCCGTTGGTCAGATAAATCGAAGTAACGAGCTAATTGTAAATATACGAGTATGCGAAGAGGATAAATCGCATAACCGGAGCAAGGGATGCGTAAAATAGAAATGGAAACCCCAATTCCGAATCGTAGATAATAAATGATGAATTGTATTCCGAAGGCTCGATCAACCCGACTCGTTTTCGTCATTGTTCATCGATGGTTTATCGTCCTTAATGTTACGCGACAACCAGTTGAAGAAAGAAGTCAATGACCACGATCAGCCCCGGGAGTGTTGATGAAAACGGCGGAAACTAAATGCGTGTATAATGTTATCCATTACAGTATTGTAAGCCTAAGTATTACATGCCTCCGATCCACGTCTGTTTGTCTGTCTGTCTGTTCGTCTGTCTACAGTTTGTACTTTTACCCATGTGTTAACCGCAATAGCCAGTTTGTAATCGTAAGGGCCGATCGATGACGAAAGCAGTCACGATACACTTTCTTTTCTTCACGATTCATACACCGATCTTCTATTATTCTTACGATGTCTCATTTAGTTTCTCTTCTAGTCGTTTTCGTTCACGCGTGGAATTGTTTGACCCTCGACCACCCGCAAATCGACACCCGATGACAATCACCCGCATATTTGTAAAGGAAAAAAAACGAGATTAGATCAGTTCATAGCGACCAAGAGATCCTTAGACATTGTTCATTGTCCTCGACAGTAGTTATCGCGATTATTGTACAAAATGTTCTTCACGCAACTTCGCTTTGCGGGTCAGAGAGGGTGTTTCACTTCGCAAAATGGACGCAATTGTACGGATGCGTTTACGTTTCTCGATAAACCGAACAGATTTGTAGTACCGTCGAATCGTGAATGTCGTCGGACGACTGCTCCAGCTCGGCGGATATCGATCGACTCGATAGCGAATTAATTCAGAGCCAGCAAATGCCCGTAATCGATAACATAAATGCAATAGCAATGCAGCAAAGTTACATAGATCCATGTGAATGGTACTTCATTCTTACGGACGATAGGTAAATACAGTATAACAGTAATATAGACTCGAACTATCGATAGAAAATAGACAAGGTCACTCACTGCAATTTATTTTTATTTTCTTTCCTTCTTCGTTTCTTTTTTTTTTCTTTTCAACCGATATACGTTCCAAAGCACCATATCCTTATCCGATCACCGTGAAACGCTGCTCCTCGACGAGTTATTTTTGTAACAGGGACAAGCCACGATATTTAAAAGTATATTGTGTAGATATAGTGAGTGTGGCCAGGGGGCGCAGGGAGAAAAATGCTCTTCTAGAGATAAAAATTCTGTAAAAATAGATTTAAAATCCACTTCGAGTAATAGGTTTATCGTAAAAATTTGCACGCCTCCCTTCGCCGATAGCCTGGCTACCCTCATGTTAGAGAAGGGTACAGATTTATAACAGTCAGATTTGCTAATGAACGAAATGATCAATTATCACATTCGAATCAATGAAAACGAGGAACAGGTTTCACGTTTTATATCCAAAGACATAACGAATCCCTTCAGCCGCCATTTTGATCGTTTTCGCTATTTCATTGTGTTATCCTCTCTCGTGTGCGTGTTTAGGAACAATGTCAAAGGTAGTTAATAGTCCTTGACGAACTCTACAGCACGTACTCTTGTTGCGTACGCGAAAAAAATAAGGACTTGTTCCTCTCTTCTCAAGACAGAGGGTAAAAGAAGATAAAAGTAAGGAGGGAAGGTGGCGGAGAAGAAGACGAAGAAGAAGAAAAGAGAAAAAGGGAAACAGAATCGATTAATTATATTTACCGCGTCGAATCAACACCGCCGCGGATTTATAAATGGGATCGAGATGATTTCGTAGGTACGTCGTTGTAAATAAAGAAAAGATTACGATCAATAACGATAACACGATGAAATTTATATTAAATACATAGCAAGTAACGAGGATAGGTTTCTAATAACGATTTATTATAAAATAAAAAAAAATGAATGTACGTTGATGTCTAAGATTTTTAACAAGATGGAAAAAAAACACAAAGTGGTTATTATTAAACTATGATTATTACTCATAATCGAGAACACAAGTACTAATTAAACGAGAGCGTTTCAATACAGAACCACACTTTTTAGCCAGGTCATGAATTCTCTCACGTTGCATATATTAATTTTGTAACAGGTACAATTACATGACACAATTGGTCTACGGTCACGGAAAACATACGTGTGGAACCGCGTTTATTAGGAAGTCTTTTCTTATTTTTTTTTGGTTTTAGCATAGTTTAATTCAATATATGACGTTGGAGAACAGGAGTATGCGAATTAATTAAAATGTTATCTCTACCTTGCAATTAAAAATTAATCTCAAGAACTACGTTAAATCCAAATCACACCAAAACTCGGTTAACTCAAAAACATAGTAAAGAGAAATAATATAAATTACCTTGTTCGAAAATAATTAAATCCTACTTTCTTTAAATCGATAATAAAAACATTCCAAAGATTCTACTAACATATTGAGAAAATGGTGATATTCACATATATGGTCTTGAAAGAAAGACTTTATACATACACATGTATCAATATTCTTGAATATTTTTACAAAGTACAAGTTTCTAAGCATTAAAGTCTCCTGAAGGTCTCCATAAACGCCCGGAACAACCTCCCCATTTATCTGGAAGTAACATTGGTAATATTTTAACGATTAACGATGAATAAACAATTCATTATAGCAATCTGAAGTACTTAATACTATAATTTGAAAAACAAGATCTAAAATTTGAATTCCACTTCAGTAATATTTCGCTAACATAATTATTTTTCTTTCTCATACAATTTCAATAATTCGTATATTTTAATTTATTTCTATAATTCCCAATTACAAGTCCCCACAGAAATTAAATAAACAAGTTAAGTTAAAAACGAAAGTAATAAACGTAACGTGGTCCACGTATGGCGTCCGTGAGCGGGACCCCTATAGATTGCGTGTGCTCACCAAGTATGCACGTTCAGTACAGTACAGTCGTTCATTACAAAGCATTAAAAATACAATACAAAGTAGCGTAGTGTTCATAATGGTAGTCCACTTGTAGCGAAATAGTATTTAAAACAGTCCAAGCAGACAAAAAACCGGAAAAAAGCACATAATCGACAAAAAAAAAATGAATGATAACAATTGCAGGTAACCGTAACACAGTAAACGTGAATCAATTCTTTCATGAAGTACATGCGACACACGCACACTCATCTCACACGCGAGCGCACGCTCGCTCACACGTACACACACACTCGCATACACGCATTGGCACATGATAATTATGGTACACGCGAGACCGTCGCGTCGCGACGCTATGAGCGGGAAAACGAATATGCGTTTAAATGTACACACATACATACACGTTCACACGTTACATAGAGGGCGACAAAATGGCGCGCGATTTCGACGGCCACGCAAACGGAAAACGCACGTGCGTGAATTCACTCGTAAAAAGGGAAAGACGGGAGAGAATCGACGCGACGCGACGCCTGGACGGTGGATTCGTCCGCGTCGCATTTATATAGCTATATTGTATTATGTATGTCGATATACGGTCACATATATCGATGGTAAAC